TTATGATACCCACAGGCTGTGAATCCGAGGAAGGGAAGATGGGTCACATTTAAAAACAGAAATGGCCCCACGTTTGTTTAGGAGCCCACAGGGTGCTCAGAAACACTGGTCACGGGGCAAAGCCAGGGAGAGCAGGAGGCTGGTGGTAGAAGAGAGTCTGCAACAGGCACAGAGTTTATACAGCCTTGAACATTGACTATGAATGTGAATGGAGTATGTTTTGCTGAGCAGCTTTGAGCCACTGGGTGTTGCGTTTCTTTGAAGAGGAGCTTTGGTGATTAGCTGGGTAGTAATATAAGAAGAAAAGAATGAACAGCTTGGGGGAAAAAAGCTCCTTATACAGATTAGAGTGGTTTACTACTTCATGAAGTGTTGGAGATGTGGAGTCTTTCACAGCACGGTGCTGTGATCCCAACAACCTGCAGCTAGCAGCGAGCCCTCCATCAGGGGTCACCAGCCCACAGAACATTCACTTAAAAAAGGGGTCTTTTAGAACAGAGGGAAAAAAGACAACCTAATTAGGCAGCCTGGTTCACTGGAGGCACCCAGGCGTTCCTCAACCTGGACAAGACAGTTCCTTTTTAGAACAAAGACACATTCAACAGCATTTTGGGTGACATTTCCAGTAATATTGTTGTAACACAGGAAAGAGGGGTACGTTTGTTTTAAGCAGTTTCTTCTTTGAAAGAGACAGCAAGAAGACCAGAGAAATGACAAGAGGTAGTGAGTTTAGCAAACCCGCACATAAAACAATCCATAAGAATAAAATGCTGCGTTTACAGCTGTAACTGTATACACCCGTATAATTTAAAAATACAAAGCTGTGTTTGAGGCCTTGCTTTTCTTTAGTTCAGAGAATGAAGCACTCAAGTGCTGGACTCAAAGTGGTTAACCTCGTTGCATGGGCAAGGGCAAACCATTCACGCAGCACTGGGCTTTTAACTCGTCCTAAGTGAGAAATTTAAATTGGGCAGTTAGTGCAACCGAGGTGCAGTTGTGTCCTTCACACTGTGTACGTCTTGACTGGCTTGTAAAAAGAATGTAGAAGTTCGTGACTCTCGCTGGCAGCTTCTTGAGATGACCGAAGAAAACATGATCTGCAACATATTTGGCCACAGCCTGACTCCGAATGAGAAGAGAGGGTTCTGTCAGCCAGTGGAGAAAAGTCAAAGTCAGCTACCTGGAAAAGGAACAGCAAAGAGATCATTTTTAATTTGGGTCCTTCTGAGTGAAGTGCGTCCAGAAAGAATACTTGGGGCCAGAAATGGCATTTAGTCCTCAACCAGTTTCAGTCAGTCCCCGTGTCAGACAGACTGGATTTGTACCTGCTGCCCACGGGCTCACAGGCAGCCCCTCTGGAGCTGTGTTACTCCCATCGTATAGTGAATGTGGAGTGCAATAGCTGTGCTCCAAAGGGCCAAGAAAGCTACCTTTGATTTCGGAGCTCATGCTTATTACACATCCCAGTGAAAGCTACCGCAGAGATGGAAGGGAGCTGTGGGCACGGAGCCGCTTCCCGCAGCGATGCCCAAACCGCAGCACTTGGGTTGGGAACAGGCCGCATCTGGTCTCCGGTCGGGTTGTGCATTTCGCTTCGCAAGGCACAGCGAGGCGGGCGTTATTCCCTGGGAGCCTTCCCGCGCTCCCGCCGCGGCGGGGGGTGGCGGAGCCATTCCCGGGGCTGGGGAGCCCCCTGCCGAGCGCTCCGCCGCCCGCAGCGGGACAGCCCGGGCGCCCGCCCCGGGGACGGACGGGGCACCCGAGCGCGGTGCTTTCCGCTCCACGGGCTGGAAAAACCACCGAGATCGAGTAGATGGTCTGCGTGGTTCCTTAATCTTTTTAATCCTGAGTTTTATGCGGGTATCCGCACCTGCCCCGGCATTCAGGCACCTCCCTCTCCCTGTGGGGCTCCCTTTGCCTCCTGCCAGCGGGGGGAATACCAAACCTCTGCCTCCTGGGACTGCTGGGAGTAAATGCATTAGAAAAGTATTTGGCTGGGGTAGTTGTGGGGCCGGGGAGGCATTTCCCTAGTGCTCCAGTGTAATTCGCTCTTGTAGTTGTGTCACTTGTGCAATGATGATCTTCTGTACAAAGCCCCCCCTGTCCTGCAGCTCCTGTCCCTGCACACGCTGCTGCAGGGATTACACGCTGGCAATGAGCAAACCCAGCTCTGAGGAGGCCCAAGAAGTTTCTGGAACTTCTATGTTCCCCATGTTGGTGGCTGCAATTTAAAAATCCCCATTTGTAGTGCTCAGTGGGCTGTCAAAGCTGAGATCTGCAGGATTTGAACAATTTTGTGACAGCTGCAGGATAGCACTTCAGTTTCCACGGAAACTGGCACTGGCTCTCCAAAATCAAGGTGAAGTGTTGGCTGATTATCTGATAATAATGCTGAGCATTTAAATAAGAAGTTCTTCACCTTCCTCTTGCTGAAACAATCTCCATTCTGACAGCATCCAGCAAACCCAACAGAGATCTTGTGAATTCAAGCTGTTGCCACATCCTGGGCTGTGTCCTCTGCTGCCCAGAGCAGAGAGCCAGAATTCAGCCCCGGCCACTCAGAGCCCTGTGCTGGGCTTCATGGTAAAGGGCTGATTTGTCCCCACAGCTGCTGCACAAACCAGCACCATTGTTCATATGACAAATTACAGAATAACCAAAGCTCTTCTGCATTACCCTGTGCTTTTATACAATACTTTCCAGAACATTTTTCTCCTCAAGTGCATTTCCTTGTAATTAATTCTTGTTGCATAAACTTTTTATCTGCTCACACTCTTATCACTGAATTCAATCGCTCTTTGGCCTCACACTCACTGGACTCTGGTTTTGAATCACTGAGTTTCATCGTTTTGCTGAACATTCCTTTTTCCAGGTCATTGATTTCTAAGGTTAACAAAATGAATCCTCCTGCTGATCCTCGTTACGTCCCACTAATCTCCCTGCTATATCCTGAACCGCTCAATTACCTTTTGTCTTCAATTTCAGAGGCATTTATTGAACCCACAGATCAGTCCTTTGTGCAGGAAGCAGTTTCATATTGGATTCAGGAACACGTTTGTGTGAATATTTCTCATACTTACACCTCAATTTGTTAAGGTTGTTTAAATTTTCTTGGTTAATTTGCTTCTTGACGTGCCCTTTTAAGTGTACTTTCTCCACTGCTTATTTTTTCCAAGAGATGCCTTTCTTCCTAACCTCTATTCTTTTCCATCTGTTCTTGTACAGTGTCTTCCACCGTTGGATAGTGTTTGACTTTCCACTTTGCAGCACTTTATCTTTTCTGCCTTTCTGAATCATTTGCCTCCTTTGCCACCCTTTGTTCATTTTAGGAAGAGAATAAGAGCCAATGTTCTCCTGAAGGACATTTGCTCTGTTTTCCTCAATGGGAAATTGGGGATTTTCTTAGGCCTGTCTTTCGTATCACTGACTCCATGTCCCTCTTTTTCCCCCTGGGGGTTGATAGCCACCTTAGCCACGTTTGGCACCATCAGTGGTATCTCAGCTCGGCCGCACTGGGGCCACCAGAGGCACAGAACCAAAGCAGTGATGTCGGTGGCCAAACAGTATTTCCAGCACCCGAGGACCGTGCAGCCGTGCACAGAGCACAGGGACACCCCACAAGTCCCGTACCTGTGGCAGTGGCTCAGATGGCTGGGATCTCAGGAGTAAGCAATAAAACTGAAGCTCTGGAGAACAATAGCTTCTTTGCTGGCCTAAGGAGGGGCACATTTTTACCAGTGACTGAATATGACTGATGATAAGAGTCTGACACCAGGGCACTGAGAAGGAATGCAGAGGGCACCACTCCTAATCAACAAGCTTGCTTAGAAATCCTGTTCCTCTTTAGAAAAACAGCCAAAATAAGTTCTGCTTTGGAAAGTACCCTTTGACAAAAACTTGGTTTTACTGGATTGTTATCTTAAATGATCCTATTCTATTTTGAATGTATCAAGTTAATTAACAAAGCCATTCTGAGGCCATGTAATTTCTTTGACAGACAAACCGAAGCTCTGGGCTTCTCTGAGGAAACACTGAAGTTGAATGTCTGAGACAAGCACCCCGAAAACCTCATGGTAAATCCCCTCACATAAAGATAATTATCTCCCAATCAGTGCATTTGAGAAATGATGACATACTTGAAAAACCCCAAGCTTATGATACCCACAGGCTGTGAATCCGAGGAAGGGAAGATGGGTCACATTTAAAAACAGAAATGGCCCCACGTTTGTTTAGGAGCCCACAGGGTGCTCAGAAACACTGGTCACGGGGCAAAGCCAGGGAGAGCAGGAGGCTGGTGGTAGAAGAGAGTCTGCAACAGGCACAGAGTTTATACAGCCTTGAACATTGACTATGAATGTGAATGGAGTATGTTTTGCTGAGCAGCTTTGAGCCACTGGGTGTTGCGTTTCTTTGAAGAGGAGCTTTGGTGATTAGCTGGGTAGTAATATAAGAAGAAAAGAATGAACAGCTTGGGGGAAAAAAGCTCCTTATACAGATTAGAGTGGTTTACTACTTCATGAAGTGTTGGAGATGTGGAGTCTTTCACAGCACGGTGCTGTGATCCCTCCTTATACAGATTAGAGTGGTTTACTACTTCATGAAGTGTTGGAGATGTGGAGCCTTTCACAGCACGGTGCCGTGATCCCAACAACCTGCAGCTAGCAGCGAGCCCTCCGTCAGGGGTCACCAGCCACTGTGGGCCCACAGAACATTCACTTAAAAAAGGGGTCTTTTAGAACAGAGGGAAAAAAGACAACCTAATTAGGCAGCCTGGTTCACTGGAGGCACCCAGGCGTTCCTCAACCTGGACAAGACAGTTCCTTTTTAGAACAAAGACACATTCAACAGCATTTTGGGTGACATTTCCAGTAATATTGTTGTAACACAGGAAAGAGGGGTACGTTTGTTTTAAGCAGTTTCTTCTTTGAAAGAGACAGCAAGAAGACCAGAGAAATGACAAGAGGTAGTGAGTTTAGCAAACCCGCACATAAAACAATCCATAAGAATAAAATGCTGCGTTTACAGCTGTAACTGTATACACCCGTATAATTTAAAAATACAAAGCTGTGTTTGAGGCCTTGCTTTTCTTTAGTTCAGAGAATGAAGCACTCAAGTGCTGGACTCAAAGTGGTTAACCTCGTTGCATGGGCAAGGGCAAACCATTCACGCAGCACTGGGCTTTTAACTCGTCCTAAGTGAGAAATTTAAATTGGGCAGTTAGTGCAACCGAGGTGCAGTTGTGTCCTTCACACTGTGTACGTCTTGACTGGCTTGTAAAAAGAATGTAGAAGTTCGTGACTCTCGCTGGCAGCTTCTTGAGATGACCGAAGAAAACATGATCTGCAACATATTTGGCCACAGCCTGACTCCGAATGAGAAGAGAGGGTTCTGTCAGCCAGTGGAGAAAAGTCAAAGTCAGCTACCTGGAAAAGGAACAGCAAAGAGATCATTTTTAATTTGGGTCCTTCTGAGTGAAGTGCGTCCAGAAAGAATACTTGGGGCCAGAAATGGCATTTAGTCCTCAACCAGTTTCAGTCAGTCCCCGTGTCAGACAGACTGGATTTGTACCTGCTGCCCACGGGCTCACAGGCAGCCCCTCTGGAGCTGTGTTACTCCCATCGTATAGTGAATGTGGAGTGCAGTAGCTGTGCTCCAAAGGGCCAAGAAAGCTACCTTTGATTTCGGAGCTCATGCTTATTACACATCCCAGTGAAAGCTACCGCAGAGATGGAAGGGAGCTGGGGAGATAACCCTGCAAACTGCCCCTGATAGCCCTGGCAACCTGACTGATAGTTCTAGTTCTCCACAGCTTCACCAGAAACATGCTGGTTGCTTACAGTGCCTGCCTACACTGTTTGGATGCGACGTACCAGGGAACCGCTCCCTCCCGCTCTGTTTGCCTCAGGATGACAGAATCACAGAATTGTCACAGTTGGAAGGGACCTTTGAGATCATCGAGTCCAACCATATCCAAAAAAAAAAAAAAAAAAAAGTTCAAAGGATTTTTTTTTTTCTGCTCTTGAAAATATTAAATTCAGGGAGTGTGACTCCAAGGGGAATGAAGGAGGCAAATGGAAAACTTTTTGGCAGTGGGAGCTGGGGTTTTGCGTTCAGCTCAATGGCATTATTCAGTC